TATATATATTTATATGATTTAACTATTGAATAAATAAAATTAAATAATTAAAAAAAATAAATCAGAGTATTAAAATATACCATAAATTTACTAAATATTCCCAAATATCATTGATGAGTTATCCGCTGCATTTATCATTTGGCATGAATCATGAGTCATTTAGCACATATCTAGATACAAGTTTTAGCAATAAATGTTTTGAATGAAATTAAAAATCACTTAGAGCTTTGATTTCATGCAGTCGCACTGACTAGCTCAATAAGATAAATCTAATGATATCAAGAATGATTTAATTTGAGCCAGATCAAGTGAAATCAAGGTGTTGAGTTTTTGTTTTAGACTGATTGGTGATTTGACAGGGGATCAAATGAACTTCAAATTTGATGCGGTTTTATAGTCAAATAGAGTGTGTCAGCAAAAAAAATCCAGTGAGCCCAAGATCACATGATTTTAAGGTTATTAAGACCATCAAATCATCAAAAAATATTTTATGATCAAGAGGAATCAATGTGAGTTGTTTGATCAGGTGGTTACGAAGGTTATTCGTCAAATGAGAAAAATGTCTTTCTCTTAGGACTTATAAATACACCCCCATCTTCGTTGGAGGGCAGAAGAGGAGGAACGAAAAAAATGAGTCTAATTAAGTATTGTTTGGATTAAAAACTATGATGACTCACAATCACCGTAGTCGTGAACCACTGTCAATCACTGCTCATCAGCCGTTGCCAACCACCTCCGATCTCCCCCTACTCACTGTCATTGGTGCACTTTGCAGCATAACGACACACATTAGAGAGCAACAAAGTACTCCATAAAGCGACAAAGTCTCATGCGTATAGAGTAGCGAAGTTTTCTAATTATTTTGCGATGACGTACCTCGAACAAAATACATTAAGAATCCGATAATAAATCATTGCAGCTAGTGTTGTCGAGAGTTGCATTCCAAATACATGTCTTTCAATATATTATGTACATAAAAACTTTGCACTTGATGTGAATTTCTAACGTTTTTTCGTTCACAGCATAGTTGTCTACCTTTGTAATTCAAACTTATAGTAGATCATATTAACTGGGTTAGGCCCTGTGGTTTTTTCCCTTACTAAATTTTCCACTTAAAAATTTATAGTCTCTCGTGCAAATTTTATTTTATTATCTACTTCTGTTGAGCTTCGTATAACATAAATGTATTAAATTATTACTCTACTATCACGAATTTTCTGACACTCAATAATAATAATAATAATCCAAAAATATCTAATCATTTAGCTACACTTATCTAATGATTTTGTTATATTACCTTTTAATAAAATTATATTTATAAGAGGCATTTACATACATACCAACCAATTTCTATGCATTTATACATTTAGAACCTAAACATTTACTTTTTACATTTATATCACTCAAATATTTCCTATCACATCAAAATATTACTACAATTCATTTTCTCGTATGGATAAGGCTATGTATATGTAAATATTAAAATTCATGTATTGGATGTGTAAATGCATAAGAATTAAGTGGTTTTAATGCAAATTTCCTTTATTTTTTTATTATTCAAATTGGTCTTTCCTGAGTAAGAAATTGAGGGCACATATGTAAATAAATTATTATTTAGTTTGGCCGTTCTTGACCTGGTATTGGTGGATGGGAAGGAAGTTAGTGCAACTACTCCCAGATTTGAAATAATTGAATTATTCAAATAAGTTGCATCATTTATAATTTAAATATGTGGTGCAAATCTGTGGAGAAATTATGAAAATAACTCTATTCAAAACCAGATCAATATCTAAAATACTTTCTAGGATTTGGGCTGACAATGCAATTTCCATTTCTTAAAACAAGTTTTTTTTTTTTTTTATAGGCCTACTATATAATTACGTTTGGGGCAGCTTATTTGGTGCGGTGGCGTTTTGAAAACGCACCTGGCTTGTTTGGGTAAACTGCGTTTTGGTAGCTTATGCATTTTCAAAACGCTGAAAACAATTTTTTCACACCACACCTGTTTAGGTGCGGTGACAATTTTCTGGCTTTACGGTCTAGCTTTCCAAAAAAGTAAAAATTTGAAATAGTTATCACACCTAGCTTATCAGCAGATTATTTTTAATCAGTTTATCTGCAGATTATTCAATAAGCTACAGCTGCCCCAAACAGACTATTATAATTTTTTATATATGTGGGTTCTTAAATAATGTTATTTACTTATAAAGGCTTTCAAAAATTAAATTTACGAATAAATAAATAACATTATTTAAGAACCTCCATATATAAAAACCCTTATAATTTATCGAGCTTTCAATTTTATCATCAAGTTTTTCTAATTTATCCGGCTATTTGGTTTAGCGCATTTATACCTTAAAAGTTAATTTAAAGACTATATATACATATATATTGAAAAGGAAATCACTATTTGACAGAGGCCCAAATATCGATTTCTCACGCGCTAGGTCTTATGATGAGAAGCCCGAGCCATGTGCCACTATTTGAGAACCCCACGCCATGGGGGATCGAACCCCTGATCTAAGAGGACTTACAGTGACCCCGCCACCAACGTCTAATTATTGTGTGCACTCTCCGCACGCAATAATCGCTCGCCACCAACAGGCCAAGGCTTGCGCACAAGTATATATACATTCATTAGAAATTTAAGGCGTTGCTGAGAGAGAAGCAGAGAAGACAAGCTACAGAAATTGAAGGAAGAGGTTCAGCTTGCGGATAATCATAGATCTACCATGTTTTACAGTTTAACTCTTGAAGTCTGTTGATGAATAATGAGAGCTGCAATGTCATATAAGATCCTAAAATTCTATGTATTTACATGTCTAGCACCTAAATTTGTTTTTTTACACCAAAACTTTTCATATCACAACAAAAATACCACCATTTTAACTTTTAAAAAGTGAAATACACATTTTCAAGCATAAGTAAGGTGGTATGTATGTAAAAATTAAAGCTTGGTTGTTAGACATGTAAATACATAGAAATTGAGTGGTATGTCTGTAAATCTTCCCAATTTATAATCACAATAAATGTACAAAATACAACAAGAAACTTTATGAGTGTTCGATCAATTGATGGCCACGATGATAATGCTTCTAAATCACAATCTTGCAAACATCATATTACGAGAGCGCAACCTCTCTTTATAAAAAGAAGAAAAAAAATATAGCATCTAAAAATTAGAGTGAAATCCTCAAAATATGATTGTGCTTGAGATGATCCCTGGTGAAGCGGTAGTCCACTTCAATGTGTTTAGTTCGAGTATAAAACATTGGGTCGTGCGCCAGTGCTATAGCAGATGTACTCTAGCTGTAGAGTGGTGTAGAAGGTAGCTTTTGATCAATAATTTATGTGAGAAGTTGTCGTGGTGAGAGTATTTTAGTAGTGTTGTAGTGGTAGTCGCGAGGGCGCAATAACTTCAATTGATGATCTAGCAACAGTGTTTTGTTATTTTGTATACTAGGATAGCAAAATCGATCCAATGTAAACACAAAACCCTGTCGTGGATTTTCTATCTTGTTGATCACTTGCAGACATCTGCATAAGCACTTAAAGAAAGGTCACTCGAAATAATAGAGAGGTCAGAGTTAATGGTCCCTTTTAGATATCGGAGTCTTTTTATTTGTTGAAAATGTGTTATGCTTGGATTATGTATGTGTTGGCTAAGATGGTTATGAAAACAATGTCAGGGCAAGTAATACTAAAATATTGCAGTGAGGCAATAACCTGTCTATATGTAGTCCAATAGTTTATGTATGTATTGAGTTTGTAAAACAAAATATCCATTTGAAATTACCTTAAACTGCAACCCGAGAAAATGAGATATGGGGCCAAGAATTTTTAAATTAAATTGACCCTGCAATTTGCATATCAGTATAGTAATAGTATTGCCGCAATTTCAAGTAATAAGTATATTGTCAACGTAGATTAATAAATAAATACAGATGTGTTTATTTATGTAAATCAGAAGAGAAGGGTCTGCAGAACTTAAGATAAATTGATGCTGACATAAAAAAGCATAGAAAGTGGAGTATCATTGTCTTGGTGACTGCTTGAGACCATAAATAGCTTTTTTAAATTTGTAGACATAGTGTGGGCAATGAGTGTCAGCAAAACTTGGAGTTTGCTTCATAGAGACAGTGTCATCAAGCTTTCCATGTAGGAAGGCATTAGAAACGTGCAATTGCTGAATTAATTATTGGTGATGAACGACGACCACAATGAGTAAACGAATGGTTTGAAACTTACCCACAGGACTGAATGTCCTGTGGTAGTCAATTTCATAATGTTGATAATATCCTTGTGCTACCAATCTGGCTTTATGGCGAGCTATGGTGCCATCAGGGTGATATTTATGTTTGTATGTTCATTTACAACCCAATATTTTGATCTGTAGGAGGTGGTACTAACTCGCATGTACCTTGTTGTTGCAAGGCGAGAAACTCATCAGAAATAGCTTTCTGCCAAAGGGAAGGATTTACAGCTTGGCTGTAATTGGTGGGCTCTCTATGAGAAGAAATGTGGTGATGTAGATCAAAAAAGAGTTTCCGTTTTAAATTTCCTGTTGGTGCACGTGTTACCATTAAGTGTTCTTTGGCAGGTGGAGGAGAGATAATTTGAGGAGAAATGGATGGTGTGGGTGTGAGAGAAGTTGGAACAGCATGCTCAGGTTGCAAGGAGAGAACTGTGGGGATGAGAGATTTTGTATGTGTCTGAGTTATGGAAGGAACGAGAGGAGCAGTGTAGTTCCGAAATTGAGATAGGAGCAGCGGCAGCTGGGGATGAAGGTATGATGGAGGTGGGAATTAGGAGAGATGGTGGAATATGTGTTGTCAAGGACGACGAAATTGAGGGTGGTTGGGATGTTAAAGTTGTTATGAAAGGAAATATAGATTCAACAAATTTGACATGTCGTAAAACAATCCATCTATTTTCCTGAATATCATAGATTCATAATATTTGTAACCTTTGTGATGCTAGTTCTAGCCTATTGAGATACATTTTAGTGCTTTGGGATAAAAATTGTGTGGAGGTCGAGGGTGTTGCCAAGGAAAACAAAGGCATCCAAAAGTTTGCAAGTAATTATATTCAGGAGATTTTTGATATAGTAGTTGAAAAGGATATTTGTTGTGTTTTATTGGAGGGAAGGCGATTTATGAAGTAAGTAGCAGCGAGCACGGCGTCCATCGAAAATTTTATGGGAAGACTGGAGGAGTTGAGCAGAGTTCTAGCAGTTTCAATGATATGGTGATGTTTCCTTTCAGCAATACCATTTTGCTCTGGTGTGTTCGGGCAACTAAATTGGTGTTGAATACCATTAGTTTGAAGATACATTGTAAGTTCATTTGATATATATTGCCCACGACCATCTGTCCTTAAATGTTTTATATTTATGTTGAAATTATTTTGTATTAATTTATGTAAGGAAATAAATTGAGCTGTAGTTTCTAATTTTATGATGTAATGGTAAACACCAACAGTAGAGTGAAAAAAGAATCAATAAAAGTGACATAATATTTATATCCTTCAACTGAAGGATGAGGAAAAGGCCCCCACGCATCCGAGAGTGTCCCTTCAAGCTTACAATAAGTACTGTTACTGTTTGAAAAGGTAGTTTTTGGCATTTATTTTGATAGCAATCAAAACATTTAAACGTAGATGCAGGAATATTGAGATGAGGATAAACATGAGATATCATAGACGGGACTTTGTTATATGGATGTCCAAGTCTTTGATGCCATGTTGTAGAGGTTGCAGTGGTTTGAAGAGCTGTGATAGACTATAACCTTGATCAGTTGGTCCAATTAGAAGAGGCTTCTTGGTGTTGTTGTCCTGGATTTGAAGCTGGTTAGCATAAAAAATGATAGTGTGGTTTTTATCCTTAGCCAATTTATTAACAAAAATTAAATTATGTGATAGTTTGGGAACTTGAAATAGTGGAGAGAAAGTTAACTTATGCTCAGGGTGGGAAGAATGACACGTAAGTTATTTCTGACATTTTTCTGTTGCCTACTATCACCTGCTTTCCTTTATATGGCTGCGATGATTCCAATTGCTCCATGTTGGGTGTAAGATGTGTCATGGCCCAATTATCCAATATCCATTCTTGCATCTGTGATGTAGCTCGTGTTGTGAGGGCAGCTAATGGTGAGTTTGAAGACGTTTTATATTCTAAGTTTGCTCTGTGTCAGCGTTGGCTGGCCGAATTCCCTTTTTGGTTGCATATCTGACATATAATGGTGTTTCTTGGCTTGACTGAGATGTTGGTGGAGTATTATTGTTGTTTTGTTCTATTATTTGTGAACGTTCTTGCATTGTTATATCCTCTTTTGTGTTTGAAACTGAGCATAGCATGTTGTGTAATTCTTGTGGTTTTATTTGCGATATTACATTCTTCACTGTGCAGCAAAGCATAGAAATCTTCTAGAGAGAGTGGTTGTAAATTTGTGCGGATAATCGTCTTGAATCTTTGATAACTTGGAGTTAGTCAACGTATAAAAAATGATTTTTGTATCCGCTTTAGAACCTGCTGTTGCAATGTTATCTACTAGATTCTTGATCATGGTTGAATATTGAGCCATTTTACTTGATCCATCATAATGTTATGGAGTTCATTCTTTACTTGAATGACTCGGGATCTATTGGATGACTGGAATCTTTTTTTCAAAGTCTGCCAAACTTTTGTTGCAGTATTCAGATGAAGAATAAGGGGAGGATTGAAGGAGAAATAACAGAAATATTGCTGCAGCCAAATTCCTGTCCACCATTTGCCACAGGAGGTACTCTTGATTTTCAAAGACTGCTCCACTGGTATATGGAACAAATCTTAGGGGACGAGACACCTTGGTGTCTAAAAAAGAATCAAACCCGTTTGTTGTAAGCAATTTTGATATTTGAATTTTCCAAACAGGGCAGTTATCTTGGGTCAAGCATGTGCAAGTCGCGTTCTTGATTTGAGACATCAAAAATTTCAAAGTAGAAGTTATACTTATCTCTTTGAATCTACTGTGAGCCATTGCAAGTTGATGACCTTCTTGAATTGATTCAGATGAGTTTGAATCCATAATGTTGTGAGGCTAGAGGGCTTTGATACTAATAAAAGAATCGCAGAACCGAGAATAGAAGAAATGAGGAGTCTGAAAAAGATAAGATGAATTATATTTTCATTTTAATCTATTTTCATGAGCATAATACACGGCTGCTTATATAAGCATAAGAATAGCATACTTGTAATGTTACATAAGGACAGTAAAGGCATTACAACACATAACATACTAATATATAATATCTTGTGCAGCGAAGACCTAATCCCATGCCGAGAGCAACAAAGCGAGATCACTTCTGGAGAGGAGAGAAGCTGAGAAGAAAAGAGCAAGCTTGACCAATAAGCGAGACAATCATCCTTCTATTACTTCTATGTTATATTTTAATGAGGTTTGGGAACAATAATGTTTGGTGAGCTCAATTTTCATGTTATCAATGTAAAAAGTAGAGAAGGGTAATTTTATCATTGCATTTCAATGTTATGCTATACTCCAAACTTTACTCCCAACCAAGAGTAAAATAAAATAATTCCACTGCATTTAATTTGTAAACAACCACATAATTCTAAATATTCAAAAAGACATTGCATTTATTTTGACAATATATTTTCAAAATTACACGACCACTAAATAAATATTTTTTTATATATTGTATAAAAAATCCATTGCATTGTCGTTTCGGATACAACCATCTTGAATGGTTATGCTTGGCGCAACATCTCTAACACATAATCTCTTACCTTGCACAAAATCTTATACAAGATTAACTGAAAAAGTGCACCAACCTCCAAAAAAAGCAAATATTATTTCTTGAATTTAGCTTGAAGATTGTTAATCGCTCGATAATCGATTTGAATTTCGACCCAGTTTGAGATCGGATCCAAATAATTGAGTCATGCTATGAGCCCAAAACTTTGAATCAATTTTTTTTCGAGTCGATTTCGAGCCATACAAGGATCGGTCAAACTGCTCGAGATCGGTTTGAAGTAATTTTTTTTCTAAACCCTAAAATATATAAATACGCTAAATAAAATTGAATGTAACAAGCCCCCAACCAATTTGAGCTGGAACAAATCCAAACAACTCAATTTGAGCCAACTAAATTTGATTTTAAGCAAGAGCGAGCCCATTTCGAGCTGTAACAGATCCAAATAACTCAATTTGAGCCAGCTCGATTATATTTCGAGCTGGATCGAGCTCGATTTAATTTCAAGCCGAACTGGATCGAAATAAAATAAAACGAGTCACAAACCTATTTCGAGCTGCACTCAATCAGTTGAGTTGATTTCGAGCCAGACCATAGCTCAACTCCTAATGGGATCGCTCCCTATTATAAGGCACCACTCAATAAATTAAAATACAAGATAGGAAAAGGAAATTGTTTGCAAAATATGCAACTTGCAATGTTTATTCAAATTAAAATTACAAATTTGTCATTTTGAGTGTTGGTATTTGTAGAATCTGACAAGTTTATATTTCCAAAAGTTAAAGAATCTAAAAAACAATGTTGCAACACTGCACACATTTCAGCCTATACTCGATAATGATAAGCCTGAAGAAAAACTAAAGAAAGTTGAATGGAAAAGATGGATCACCTGAGGCGCCTCTTCTTGCGTAGAACAAGCTCGGTATCGAGGCCAAATCCATCGATCTTACGAACGCGGACGAGATCAGACTCCACAAAGAGCACAGTGACGCCCTCGATAGCGTACAGGTCGTTAGCAGAGTAGCGATCAGCGCGTCGGGTGAGAGCGACGTGGAGAACGCAAACGCCACCAGGTCGAAGAGTTCGCTCGATCTCCCCCACAAAGCGGTCCGGGTAAAGCGCATGATCAAAAACATTCGAAAACTCGAAATCGAACGAATGATCTTCGAATGGCTGGGAATGGAAGTCTCCCTGAACAACCAGTGGCGGCGATGCCACCAGATCCATCCCGATCGAATCAGCGACCCCAATCGTACGCAGCGCCGCGACCTCCTGGCCGATCCGTGCCCCGATGCAGAGCGCGCGCGAGGTGTTTGATAGAAATGCCCGTTCCTGAAGCTTGACGAAGAAGCGGGAGAAAACGGCGATCTTACGGTTCCAGTCGCGGGTGGCCCAGAGGTGTCTGAGGCGAGGGTTGAGAGTCTTGTTGAGCTGTAGGTTTAGGTAATCGTCGTAGGAGCGGAAGCCGGGGCGTATCTGGAGGATGGAGGAGGGAGATAGCTGGCGGGTGAGAGTGGGGTGGAGTGTTGGGCGGGATAACAGAGGAAGGAGGAGGAGGAGGAGAGAGAGTGGTAGAATGAAGAGGAAGGGCTTAACGAGGGGCTTCGTTGCGGACATAGGGGAGACTGGGGGTTGAAGAAGGGAGGAGGAAGGCGATCTTGGTACAAAAGGGGTTGGAAAAAGCTTCGGTGGCTTTTTCGGTCGGCGCCACCTTCCCGTTTGCGAGGCCCGTGAGGACTGCCTGTCTGTCACGCACTAGGTGCGAGGTGCTCGCGGCAATATTTAAGTTTTGGGCTCTCCCACACCACTAAAAATTCTTTTGCGATATGATCCAGTGTAAAATCAATCATGAGGGCGTCATGTGATTTGATAAAGGAGAATATCTCACGGACAAAAAGTCTCATGTAGGTTTGTAGAGCCGAAAAATAATATTTAAATCATGGGCTGCCCACCACCCTTAAGAGCTCTTTTGGGAGGTGACATATCGTTTGTAATCCTCTGAATTTTATTTTATTATTTTTTTTTAAGTATCAGACATTTAAATTATTCAATATAATCTCTTAACCACTCAAAACATTACATATTTATATTTCAAAAATTCAATTTTTTTTACTTTAAACCTTCAGGTTCTAAAAGAGGGTGATTGTAATGAAAAAATTGACTATATGTTATTTTTCATATTTTCACTTAAATATTAAAATTCATTTTAAAACCCTAGCCTATTGATTTCTCAATATTTTAATCATGACAAGTATAAATATATCAGTTTAGTAGTTCAAAAAAATCATCTCGGTGATATAAACAATGAAAATATACAAAAAAATCTAACAAAAAAAAAAGTATACATTTAGATATTTTACAGGAATGCATTTCAGCATAAATAACTGATTAATTCAAAACTTGGTACAAATGGAGATCATCTAAATGATTATTTCACATAACCTGACAGAATCTTTCAACTCTCATCCCCTCATCTTAAGCATTATATGGTATCCCACTTCAGCAAAAATTAAATTGACATCAAGGATCTATATAAGAAAAGCAAAGATCATCTCTCACCCTCCAAAATGAAACTTAAAAAAGGCAAATGCTTCTTGGGAGATTGTGTTTAAAAAGAGAATTGTGTTAATAGTAATTGAAAATAAGTGGGGGACAATCAATTCTCTATCAGCCTTATGTAATAATAATAATAAATAAAAGTTAAAAAGAGAAGAAAATGAAGTTTGCAAAATTTTAATATTTTTTTTATGATATAATTGTAATTGCTCGAAAAAATGGGGACAATTGATACTCTATCAACAAATTTTTATCGTTCGGCATAAATAGTGAGATATGACATGAATCTAGAGGTAACTTTTTTTAACAAGAAATATTTAAACATTGATAAAAAATTATTCATAACTCATTTTTCAACAAGCTTACAGTCAAAATGACTAGCTTGATGAGATAGACCTACTAGTACCAAAATCAGTCAAATTCGAGCCATATTAATTTTAGAGCAAGCAATAAAACCACTTCTAAAAGCTTTCTAACCACGTTTGAAAGGCTAAATGAATGTCAAATCTGGTAAGCTTATGATTGAATCGAGCGACTCAACAAGATAAATATAATGAGTCAAATATTGCTTAATTCTAGCATTATTAAGACTGTCAAATGTCCATTAAACGTTGTCTGACAAAAAAAAAAAAAAAAAACTCTCTAGACTGTCCCTTCTTATGAGGGGAGATGAGCTTAAGAGTTGAAGAAGTGCTTGAAGCTTTGAGGAGCAAATGACCAGCATCACTATCGCTGATCTGACGTCGACCACTACTGACCTCCACCGACCACTGTCGATCGTCGTCGACCACCACTGCCCTCTATCGAACACCGCTGACCGCTATTAATTCTCGCTAACCAGTGTCAACCACCATCAACCGAACGTCGTCAATCGCTATCAGTCGTCGCCCGTTTCTAGCAAAAAATTCACCAGCACGTCAACGTTGTAACTTCAAAAACCTAATAACTTTTTCCTGTCTGTGAGACAATTGATCTCTGTAATCAAAATTTTTTCTGTTTACGAGTTTTTCACATAAAATTTTTCATAACTCTACTAATTATATTTCTTTATCCGTCCTGAATTTTCGAGCAACATTAATAACATCATTCATTCCTCTACTAGTATAAATTTTTCCTACCACCAAGCAAGTATTATTTTATAATTTATCACCAGACCACTTATATCTTTCATGCCTCCCACCTAAGTCAAAATAGATCTCCACCTCATTGGACAACGCCATGAGACTCTGACTCCGAATAAAAACTTCACCTTGAAGCCCCCTCCTCCATTTTCTCCACCGAGCCCGAAGCACGAGGGAGCTACCATCATCTCCTTAGCCTCTCTCCCTCGCTCTCCCTCTCTCCACCCGTCCTCATTCTCTTCTCCATGGATGACTTGAGGTCGAGATCCTACGCCGACAGCCGGGTGCAGATTGAGCCGTATGGCAAGAGGGGGCCGTCCTACGACCTGAGGAGCTACAGCACGTCGGACGCCTCTTCCTACTCCCAGAAGGAGGCCAAGTTGACCAAGGGTAAGAGCTTTTCTGCTCTCAAGAGCAGTTGGTTGAACGATCCTGAGGTCCAGAGGAAGAAGAGAGTTGCGGGTTACAAGGTCTATTCGGTCGAGGGAAAGGTCAAGGGTTCGTTCAGGAAGAGCTTTAGGTGGATCAAGAATCGATATGCGGATGTCGTTTATGGATGGTGGTGATCGATGACCTATCTCTAATGGTAAGATTCCTTTCGAAACCTAGTCGCAGCTTATGGATTTTGATATATATTTTTTATTATTTCCGGCCGATTGTTTTGTCGAGATGCTTGGAGTTTATATGATCTGGTTCTGAGCTGTGAGATTGACTGGATGCTTATTTGACTGTCGTTTGGCTCATTGTTACTTGTTTCGCTTACGGGGGCGGATCTTATGATTTATGGACGCGTGGTGATGATTAGGGTTTTGGTAGTTTTTCTTGTAAATTCCTTTGATATGACAAAGTACTTCTTATATGTTTTCAATTCAGATTGAAGTGTTTATATGCTCGAAGAAAAACTAAAAACTTAGCAATATGAGAAGAAGAATCAATGGATTTATTTGAACCGAGGAGATTTAGAAAGTTGTCATGCGAATGGTGATCATAGAGTTCTTGCAGAGATGGAATTTTGCAAGATTGGAAATTTTTTCTGGCTCTCCAGTCTGAAAAAGTGGCGGATTTTTGTCCGTGTTTGGTGGCATATTATTAATAGGATTTAGCCATAGATTTAACTTAAATCCACCAAACACGAATAAAATAAAATAAAATAAAATAACTTAAAATTAAATACAACGCTCCTCTAAATCCAAATTTCTCATCTTTTGTCTTTCTCTTTCTGTGTTCTGTCATCTTTACCATTCAAACTCGAATTGAGTAAATCCAATTGCAAGTCGGATTTATTCCGCCGCTATTGATGAGGTATTCTGTTGCAACGTGATTTGATAAATCAGGATTTATCGGATTTGATAAATTCTATTTAACGAAAATTTAAACTACAGCCAAACACCGCCTTTGGGTGGCAGATAGCTAAAAGCAAAAATGGCTGTTTGTTGCGATGAACTCCAACAGGATGTGATAAATGGTGTAAATCCGGATTGAAACGGGGTTTGATAGCATACTATTAATAGGATTTAGCCATGGATATAGCTTAAATCAAGTCAAACACAAAAAAAAAAAAAAAAAATCAATGCTTAGTTAAATCGATTTTTTTTTGCATTCCGTCTCTTTGACGATGTAAAATCGGATTTACTAAATTGGTTTGCGAGGTGGATTTATTCCATCGCCACTCACGAGCTCCATCTCCGCTGCACGTTGGATTTGATAAATTTGGATTATCTGATTTACTGAATTTGATAAAATCCCGTTTAACATGCATCTACGCTGCGACCAAACACCTATTAAATTTATAGAAGATTAAAACCTGAAAATTTTTTAGCTATTTGTTTCACGATTTAAGATTTGTGTGAAGATAAATCCTTGATTAAGTTAAATCTTATGAATTGTGAAATTTAACTATTCCTTGGTTTAACACATAAGTGGGCTAAAATGGGATTTATCAAAGCAATAAGATTTAAAAGTCCCCAAAAACTTATTTGGCACCATTTAAGCTAAATTCTACGGAAACTTCGCTAAAAATAGAATATCAATACAACCCCTAAACTTCTTTAATCATACGGAACACCTGTCATACAATTCTTTTGTAGGATAATCTTGTCAAAAAAACTCCTAAAAATATATACATGTTAATGCATGCGCCAATGTTTGTATTTCTGTGGCAGCTTATGCTGAAACTAAAATGCACATAAAATGAAGAGAGCTTACATCAGGAAAAAAAATCATATATCAAGTTATGAAATGCTCTAAATGATGATGGTGCTGATTTTAAGACTTTGTTTTTTCTATGTTTGCAGTATCGAACCATAGTCGGTAAATTTATGAGATAATATTCTCCGTCGGCCTGAACAAAAGCTTGACTTTTGCTGCTTCTTTTAACTTGTTATCAGGCTCATCATGGGTTCTATCATGCGAAGTCATGCCAGTATAGTTGGTTTCTCTGCCTAAGTAGTTTTTCATGTCAATTTGCTTGGTGTATGTTATCTTTTTGTTGCACTCTAAGTCTTATTGTACTCATATTTCGCTTATTGTTTGATTGGATAATCTCATCTTAAAGTGATTCAAGCTGGATTAACATTAACTAGTGAGATTTTGTTTCTGTTTTACAAATTTACATTTGCTAGGTTCCAAAAAAAAAAGTTGGATTTATAGGCCATGGTTATATGTATTGGTATGATCTCTAATGTTAGGGGAATGATCCATCCGAGGCCTACGATAATTATACTACAAGTTCTAAACTTTTCCTATCTTCACTTCCCATAAAAAAGCATTTAATTGTGTTGCATTTCATTCTCTCACTTACCAAGGCATTTTTTTTTTGGTAAACTTACTTTTTTTGTTTACATGGTTGCTATGTTTGACGGAAACTTTGTCGAAAAACTTGACATAAATTCTTCAAAGGCACAATGGAGAAAAATGATTCATGTAGCAGACCCTACTTAATGGGACAAAAACTTTTTGTTGTTGCTGCTGCTATGTTTGAATATAATGTTTATCATTAGTTCGAAATTGAACTTGATTTTAGTGGTTGTTGTCATCAAATTATTATTTGTTGACATGTTTCATTTGATATTATTGGTAATTGAACATGTTTGATGTGATATCACTTTGAGTTCTCTATTACATGCACCTAAATCCTTAACATCACACCAAACATACAACTAAGATTACCTTTCTAATGTGAAATACACTTTTTCATGCATATGTTATGATATGAATTGGAATACAAAGTGTTATATAAGTAAATATCAAAGTTTATTCGTTTGATATGTAAATGCATTATGTATATAAATCCTCCTATATTTAAATATATATTCTGTGGGTGATTTTAATATTCTTAATTTGTGGTATAGAAACTGCCAGGAAAAGCATGTTTTTCAATATAATTGAAGAAACTTAAACTGCACGGTAAGCTATCCTTACTTGGATGATGTCAAAAATGTCATACATTTCTATTTTTATTTCAATATACCGTCTATTATCTTTTCTTTTTATAAATCTATCTGTTATTTTAGAATTGGAACAGCTACATACAAACCACTTAATTCCTGTATATTTACATATGCACCTAAGCTTCAATTTTTCATTACATGCCACCTTACCTATGCATCAAATATGATATATTTGTTATGATATGAAAGGTTTTGGTGTTATAAATGTATAAAAAAGAGAGTAAAGTTTGGTGTTATATATGTAAATTTATAGGAATTGGGTGATATATATGTAAATACCTTGTTATAATTATAAAAAAAATTGTATCATTTTCTCACAGCATCTTCTATCTGTTGATTTTATTGCACTTTGTATTACACTTCTAAAGCTCACTAAGTTGCCAACTGTTTAATAATGGCAGGATGCCCCCTGCAACTTCTTGTATCCTTGGAAGAAAGGTTCATCCTGCAAATGAAATATCATATTTTGATTTTATTAGGATATTTTGTGTGTTTGTGTATATATATTACCAAAGAATGATTTTAAGAATGTGTTATGGTTTGATTACCGTTGTGATTCTGGTTTACTACTTGTAATTTACTTGATACTTACTGTCCTATCTTTGAGTTATTTGAAATATGGAAGATTTACATGCATGTCGCACAATTCCTGTGTATTTACACATTTAACACCTAAACTTTCATATTTACATTAATATCACTTTACTGATACATCAAACGGTGGAAATTTGTACATACATAGCACCCAATTCTTATGTGTTTACGTGTCTCACACTTGAGCTTTCATATTTACGTACATAGCACTTTGGTGTTTTAAACGTATGCATGAAAAGGTGTATTAAAAAGATTTGGATGTTGTGCGTGTAAATATGAAAGCTTTGGTGTGAGATATGTAAATATATAAGAATTGTGTGCTGTAAATGTAAATGACCCGAAAAATTAATGATAGTGATATTTATTTATTTTTGATGTGATAAGAAATTTAAATATCAAAATTTAAGTGCTAGATATGTAAATTCATAAAAATTGGGTGACATGCAGGTAAATCCTCCTAGAAATAACTTCATATGATGAGTTCAGGCGGTTTTAATGGTGGATTAGCTGTTGTTTGGTTCATGGTAGAGCTAAGCTTATTTGATTTTAGTAACTTTATGGGTCTATTTGGGAGAGTTGTAGCTTATTAAAAAGTTCCACAACTAGAAAGTTGCTATCGCATGTAGCCAGAAGTGATTAGAAAATACAGATTTCAACAGTAATTTTTTGAAAAAGTTTTTAAAATAAAGTTTAACTAAACAGATAAAATTGCGGTGCGGTGTCGCACTGCCGCTACACTGCCGCCCCAAACGGACCCTTAGTCATACAACTCTAAAATTAGGGTTGTAAACAAGTTGAGTTTAAGCTTACTTTTGATGCTATTTGGCTCAACCAAAATTATTTGTTTCCAGCTTTTTTGGTCTGTTTGGGGGCAGCTTATTTGGTGCGGTGGTATTTTGAAAGCACGTCTGGCATGTTTGGGTAAGCTGCATTTTGGCAGTTTATGTGTTTTTAAAATGCTAAAAAGAGCGTTTTCACACCGCACCTGTCTAGGCGCGATGACAGCTTTCTGACTGTGGTCTGACTTTTCTAAAAAAAATAAAAATTTGTAATAGTTACCGCATTTAGTTTATCGGTAGATTATTTTTAATTAGTTTATCAGCAAATTATTCAATAAGCTGCAGCAGTCTCAAAAAGGCTCTTAGTTATGGAGTTGAATATGAGCTAGTCTCGAGCTCGAAGCTTATTGAAAGTTTTTAGTGAATTTGTAGAAAATTTGTGTTGAGATATATTGATAAAAATTGTGTTAGGATGAGTTTGAAAATCATTAAATTTTATTTGTTTTTTACAAAATCACGACCCTCTTTTATTCATATTTCAAATTCACTCAAATATCAAAAGTTACAGGAAAAACATTACCCATAGTTTTCATTTTTAACAAATTCTCAATAATGATTTGATCTGATTTGATCATACCACTCGTATGCGCTTGCTAATTTTGTAAATAACAAATGTTTTAGTGCCATGCATGTAATTATTACCTTCTTTTTAATAATAATTTGTATTAATCTTGCATCATATAAGTGCATTTAATCATGCTATATATGCATTTATAAATATGCTCTGAATATGAGTGTTGTTGAATCCTCATTTGTATAAGAATCATATCCTTGAGGAATGGAGAGTGAGTGAGCGAGAGAGAGATAGAGAGAGAAGTGAATGTTAATGGACTGTAAAACGTCTTGTCTGTTAATTTTTTCTCATAAACCGTTCTATCTATTTATAGATGAGATAATATAATATAATTATATTCTATTTTTGTCCTTTTTTTAATGGGGGTTGTTCATGATATTCTAGGTATTTTATTTTATTTAGCATATTATTCGGTTGCCCTATGATTTGGTAAGTTGGGTTAGTATGATTTTGGCTTCGTAAGTTTGTTTAGGTCGGTTAGGCTAAAGTTGGTGTAGTTGGTCGACTGGACTTGATTTGCATTGGGTTGGCAGGACCGACTTAGTTGGCTAGGTTTTGTAGATCGGTTATCTAGTCGGATTATTGACCCTTAATCTCTAGATGAGGAACTATAAACTTTCAAGCAGAGGGTGAATCCTCGTAACTCGATAGATGTCTCGTTCATTGATATAGGGTTCCTTTGGGGTGAATGTGATTGTGTGACTCTATCATATTGTGAAATTTTTGTCTCTTATGAGGAACTCCACGAGCATTCGTAAGATGATTGGTGATATTGAGTACTTTTTACTCTTACCTCATATCAGATCTATCATAAGACAGGTCGATGTCTTTTCTTGGCATTCTTTTGACGGTTAACTCAAGTGTTTATTTGACTTGTTTTAGTCCAATCAATTCAGACTCAAATCATTCTTTTGTCATTCACCTGGCTCATTTGGTCTTCATCCTTAGCTTGGATGGTTGCATTCGATTAGATAAATTAGTCTCTTGGTCTCCTGTAGATAGACTCTCATTTGTTGTAGTTTTTTTTTTATTATGGACCGTTAGATCTCCATGTTCTGACACATTCCTGATGTACAAATATATAATATAAATGTGTGTCCATGTGCGTGTGTAAACTATCAAAATAGTCCCTCATTATTACATCTGGCCCTTTGAGTCACAAATGTTTTTGAAGTGTCAAAATAGTTTCAGATTATTTAAAAATCGAACTCTAATAGTCATCTCCAATTTAAAGTGACTAAGCGTTATTTGACAATTCTATAAATTTTAAAGTTAAAATAGAGAGAGAGAGAGAGAGAGAGAGAGAGAATTTGTTGGGGGTGGTTTAGCACCGTTTGGTGTGTAATAATGTGTGTGAAGTGGATTGGACTTACATAAGGTTGAAAGGTGGACTACCTAATTTAGATTAAAAAATTGGTTAATTATTCAATTTAGAAATATTTTTTATGCAAAATTTCAAATTATATGTAATCATAGTTGAATCTTATCGGAATGGGAAACCCGTGTTGACTTTGGAGCCACATTAATGAGGAAAGAGTTGGCAACGAAAGCATGCGACTCTGCCTGACAGGTCTTTTGGATACATTAAATATGGAATAAATATATAATAAAGCATGCTCAAGGTCACATATATCAAAGTTGAAATTAAGACTTTGGAGGAAATTTAAATGGGGCATTTACTTTCGTACCCCCAATTTCTTATATATATAATCTCACAATCTTACTGTTTGTTTGGGGTAGCTTATTTGGTACGGTCTCGTTTGTTTGAGTAAACTGCATTTTGACAGCCTATGCATTTCAAAGCGTTGAAAATAGTGTTTTCACACCGCACCTGTCTAGGTGTTGTGACAGCTTTCTGGCAGAGGTCTGACTTTTCCAAAAAAAATAAAAAATTGTAATAGTCATCGTACCTAGTTTATCAACATATTATTTTCAATCAGCTTATCAGCAGATTATTCAATAAGTGACAGCTGTCTCAAACGGACCTTTAGTTTTAAGTGGCAGCTGCCCTAAACAGTCTCTTAGTTTTACTTTTACATTTCTAGCGCCATAAAAATAGGGGCATTTACATTTGAGAAAAATTTCCATTTAGATACAGTTGAGGGCTCTAATTAGATTAAGCTATCTAAGTAATATTTAATTTAATAAATTTATAATTTTTTAAAGTAAGGCTCGCGTGCATACATTTTGTTTGGGGCTTGTTCTAATTGGAGCCCGTAGGCAGCTCTGCAAATGACTCCTTATGAAAAAAACATACAGACCACACAATTCTTAAAGTTTTAGGATGATTACATACAGACCACCTCAAAGATTGATATTTACAAATTAATCATTCCGGTGATATTTTTTGAGCTATAGAATTAATGTA